GCTTTATGGGATGCGCCAGGCCAAAGAGAGGCCCAAAGTGGCCGACATGTAACAGACAACAAGGGACTAACAAACAACCACTATTCCGACTGAAATCAAATACAAAATATGTTGTACAAATTGGTTACTTCCCCATTCAGTATTTCGTCTCTCATCTGTATATTTTAGAGTTGTCTTGTTAAAACGGCTGTGCGTGTTTCATATATAATAGCTTATGCTTGTAGCCACCTGTGTTCTCAAACAATAACCAAGCATGCATGGTTGCATGGTTATGGTTGGTGACCACCAATAAACTCTTAAACACAATGCATTAGTTGCATTGTTGTCTTTTCAGCAATGATAGGCTATACTTGACAGGCCAAATCAAACAATGACTTGATTTTTTTTATGCATCCAAAGGTACTTGCGTCATCCAAAAAAAAAATTTGTTTTACTGTTTACCTTATTGCAGCTAAGCTTTAATGATTGTTTTGAAATCTTGTATCATGCAGTGACAAAAATAATACAGTATGTGAATATTTTTTATGTTTGTCAATGTGTTAATACTCGTTGGTTCACTCAGTCGCAACATTTGGTACATTGAACGCAATGGTACATAACATTCTCCATGTATAATTTGAGCAGAAGTGAGCAGATTTAATCTGGCGAGGGGTCTGTCATCAAATAGCAGTCCAAAAACCAATGATGTGTTGTACTGACAAAAATGCCGCTTTAGAAAACTGATCTTAAAGAATGGGAATAAAAATGAATTTACCTCAGAGTACTTCCGTTTTGTCATTGTTTACAATGAAACAGTTTGGACTGTTAAAAAAAGAACAGTTTGATTGGCTTTAATTGGGGTGGCGTCAAAACTGGTGTTTCATCTGGCATAAATATAGCATTTAAAAGAATACAGTATTTGATGGTCAGAAGTGTTTTTTCTGTTTTCACTTAATCATCACTTCCTGTTATTATGGCCATGAAAACTATGGGGGATGGAGTTACTTTTTTAGACCACAGTTTTAACCTTGCTACTATATATTTCCATTAAAGTTGTGGAAACACTAGCCTTCTCTTGTGCCCAACCCATATATATTTTGTGGATAGCTTTGGTTCCTCTAGACCTGACTATAGCTGAATTACTTTAAATTGTAGCATGACAAAGTACAGTATTAAAATTGCTTCTCCAACATTGAATAAAACTATGTAATTCCTGTGTCCAGCCTACTGTAAATCGCTCCCTCTGTAATGTGC